GCCGGCCTCTCCCCGCCGGCCTCCTCGCTGCTCGCCTCCCCCGGCTCCGGCGGGCCCGGCTGCAGGAAGATGGTGGTGTCGGCCGAGATGTGCTGCTTCTGCTTCGATGTGCTTTACTGTCACCTGTACGGATACCAGCCCCCGCGGAGCCCCCGCTTCACCAACGACCCATAGTGAGTATCGGCGCGACCGCCCGCGTGGGCGCCTCGTGCGCGCCCGTCCCGCCCGGCTCCCCCCCGGCCGGGCGCCCTCCCTCCCTCCCTCCCTCCCCGCCGGCTCCCGCCTCCCGCCCGGCACCTTCCCCGCTGCCGCCGCCCGGCCGCTGTCCTCGCCTGGCCCCACGCCTGTCCCCGGGCCCGGCCCGCGGGCGCCCCCGCTCCCCGGGAGCCGCGTTGCCCTCCCGCGCCGGGCTCGCCCCGGGGAGCGCCGCGCTGCCCGCCAGCTCGGTGACTCCTCCCCGGCCCCTCTTGGCCCGTCGCGCACGGGGCTCGCTGGTGACATCTCCCCCGTAATCCCTCACACCTCTGGCAGCGCCCTGCTCCGAGCGGCCGCCTTGTGACCACCTCCGGCCGCCGCGCTCCGTGGGCAGTGCCCTCTCCCCGCTCGTGAGCTGTGTTCAGCAGCCCCCGAGAGCTCGTTTCACCAGTAGTCCTTACTGGGACCCCTTCACTAGGCAGCCTCTCGCTGTCCGTGTGTTCTGCATGAGGGCGGGCCTCTCCTTCACCAGTGCTGGATGGTGAGTACCCAAGTGTGAGAGCCCTGTCGTGCCAGTCCCGGATTTGTGAGCACTGGTGTACCTGTACATTTCCCATGCCAGGCACTTGTAACGCTACTTTGGTCTCATATCGTTCAGAGTCCTTGCTTTGTAATGATTCCTGAAGATTACCCAGTGTTAGACATCCCGAGTCCCTGAGTAATCCACCACATCAAATTCCCAGAGTTTTGAACAGATCACATAAACACCTGTTACTCCCATCCTCTCTCTGCCTCCCAAGCTTCCTTGCAAGAGTGTCCAACAAGGGCCTGTTTTATTCCCATCCCTGGCCACTCTTGTTCAGTGTTTGTCTTGAACCCTGTGCCACGCTGCCTTCAGAAGTGACGTGCCAGGACCGTCTTGCCCAGCATGCGAGCACCTGCAGCCTGCCTGTGCCGGGGAGGCAGGCATGCTGCTGCAGATAGAGCTCAGACACTTCAGGGAGTAACTTCTCTCTGACAGGAAGTTCCTTCCTCTCAGCCGGGATGAGTTACCGAGTTGCTGCATGATCCAGAGTTAATGTAAGGGGTTGCTGAAATTGAGTTTCCGCTGTTTTACTTTGCTTTTAAATGGAATGGAGCCCATGTGGTGAGTTTCCAAGCTCCAGCTGAGACTCGACTGTATTGGTCCACCAGAGTGCATGTCACTTTTTTCCTCTTATGTATAGCATGACTATCAAGTTTGTGAGAACCTGTGCTTTCTCAGTACTTAATGAGTACAAGTTTTCCGTGTGTGTCCTGGACACTCGTGCACCTTCACTAGTGCAAACAGTTATCGTGCAGTCTGTGTTTCATTAATGAGATGTAGTGTATGCTTCTTGGTGTTTGAAAATGTAATGTATTGATAATCTTATTTGTAGTCCTTGCTGTTCTAACACCCAGGATCTATACATCTCTTGCATACTTTCAGCTGCTGTCATGACAACCCAGCTCTGTGGATTCCTACTTAACCTGCCACCCCAGCAAGTCTTCCCTATATGCTCTTCATAACTCCTATGTGATTTCATCAGAGTACCAATAATGAAAGGAGGGCAGGGAGACTCCACTGTGAGTTTCTTTACCCAGGTCTTTTGCAAATCCATGTCTGTCCTTTTGTAGATACCAACTGTTCAGCAACTGCTGCTCTGAGTAGCCATTTTGCTGTGCGTTGTCCTGTGTCTGTTCTCCATCCCAGACCACTATAGGTTGCAACATCAGCTTTGTGCTGTTTCACTTTTTCCTTGCTGTAAGAGTGTTGAATTTTGTCTGTGTCTCTGTAACAGTGTTACATTGGTTTTATGGTTTTTTATCTGTATTTGAGAATGATTTGTTGAACAGATTAGTTCTACTGTCTATTAGTGGAGGAAACTGAGGCAGGGATAAAGATTTCAGCACTAAAATGTTTTCCAGTAAGCACTTTGATTCCTCTTAGTAAGCAGTAGATCAATTTACTTTTTTCCTCCTACTTCTTAATTTAATAACAACACAGTTGCAAACTAAGTAAAATTATTTAAATTTTTCTGAAATTCATATGTGTTCTTCAGACTTAGTTGCTAGACCTGGTGTAAAGTTGCTGCATCAACTTCTGAACTTCTAGACTTCAAAAAGTGGCACTGTCACTAAAATTAGTAATGTAATTTCTCTTTATTCCCGTGCTTGCTTTATAGATCAGGAAATGATCTAACAATAATTTTATATTTTTCCCCAGTTGGTCCAAGTTTGGTTCTCTGTGGATCATTGCGTGGCTTCACAAACATTTGTGCCTGCACAATTGTGAGGTGGGAATAAGCAGACAGATGGCAGAACTGCTGCTTTCAGCAGCCTTGTGAGCTGATTATGTTTGTGCAGTTGAGGATGCAACTTTGAAAAAGTTGTTCAGTATTACACATAAAATTTTAGGTCGGTGAATAAATTGCTCCTGCTAAGTGTTCAGAGGCAGCATGATTTCCAGCATTCACAAGATTTGCAGGCAGTCTTATTGATAACTGGGTAACTCACAAAGATTAGATGTTGACTTTGAAGCTGGGCTTCATCCTGTACAGGATGAATGAGAACTAGTGTTTTTCAGTGAATGTGTATTGCAGCTTTCTGCCTTGAATTCATTTGGAGGTTCTGTCCATAGACTGAAATATCTGGTCAAAGAGCAGTGACCTAAAATAAGGGTTTATATGTAAATTATAGAATTTTTTTAAAAGTTATGTTAATTACAGGGAGGATGAAAGACCTGTGAGCAGGTATCCTCACACAAACATGACTCATAGTCCTTGCAGGTCTTTGAATAATGAAACTGGGCATGATCAAAGAAAAGCAGGTGGCTGAATCACTTGGACAAGGGGTTCTGCGGCGGTTCATGTTGTCTTTAGAACAAAACCTGCTTGTGACACCTCTGGATTTTTCTGACTTTCTGATGCCGAGATGATGACAGCATCAGGGCAGCAGGAATAAGTCGAAAAGCTTGTTTTGAAAGGGTGTGGGTTTTGAACTCTAGGGCAGCCCATACATGGATGAAACAGTTGGCATTTTCCTGTTTCTGGAGTTCCTAAAGCACAGAGAATAGTGTGTCGAGGGTATTGCTAGGGAGGTGTTGGGTTGGAAGGGGGTGGTGACTCATGGAGTTAAAAGAAGATATCTGGAAGACACTGAATCTCTCCAGCAGTGTTTTGTTGAGAATAGGCAGAGCAATGGACTTCTTCCAGCCATGGACTTCCTCTCCTCTTGTAGGCTCCATGGATGTGCTGACATTTTGTTCTGTCACTCTTAATTGAAGAACTTTCTCATACCTTTAATTTCACTTCACTTTGGGTTGCTCTCTAAGCCACCCTTTTCCTTCTTTGCAGGATACGTCCTGCATGGCCTATGCCTTGCTTCCACCAGTGTGTTGACTCTCAGACTACAGGTGCAGAAGGCATGTAGAAATTACCATGGCAGTGTGAACACTGGTACAAAATTTGAAAATTGCTGATCCAGACGAAATTGTCTCTAGGACAGAGTGTCATTTAGACACTGTTTTTGTGACTCAGTTTGATGAGTAAAGTTACAGAACACTGAACTTGTCCATCAGAATTAATTGTAAGAGGATGCAGGAAGAATTGTAAAAGCATTTTAGCCCACTCATTTATGTTGTTTCTCTGCAAGACTTGGTTGTATGGCAGTGGAGACTTACACTGTTTTGTGGCATACTCAGTAATAATTTATATTTATTGTTACACTCCAATATTACACAACAGCTATAATGATTGCTTGGTCATGGCCAAAGATCAACAAGGAAACACACAGGGAAACGTTCTTTCATGTCTGTGTGTGTGTGTCTGTCTGACTTTATTCTGGTTTTCATGTGCATGTCATGTGGATTTGTGTGAAGTTCAGTATTTTCTTCTGAATTAACAGGGTGTATTGGTCTT